ACACGTTTATTCTATTACAGACACCTAATGCATACTTCTAAATTATATTTGGTGAGCTAAACATAAAAAATGAAAAAATACATTAAAGTTTTTTTGTCCTTGAAATATTTCATTGAAATACTGTAGAATACCATTCATTCCTATGGAGGACTGCTCCTACTGGGGAGTGCCAATACGGACAACCGGTGGCTTTTAGTTCAAGTGGACCCAGTGACTCAGACTTGAGCATTTGGACCAGGACTCGAGCACAGGGGACTTGGGACTCGATTCGTATTCTAGGTTTAGTGACTTGACTACATCACTGGGCGAAACAGTCATTAGCTCCCGTTCTACTTTGGACACCAATGTGGCTGCAGCGTCTGTGGAACATTGATAACAATGGCAATGGCGCGACCAATTGACGGCGCTGCAACCCATACTACTTTTATACGTGTCATATTTCTGCTATTAGGAAGAGAATAGGACAAATATGCAGGAAAATATGTTGGCAGGACAAGGCAATGTATGTTGGTCCACATGGAAGTCAGTGATTTATGTTTACTATAGGTTAATGAGGCAATACAAATGTGATGTGACTAAAATGTGACTAAAATTAAAGGGCATTTAGTTGACTAAAATGGCTCACTTTGTAATTTTGACCATAACTAGACTAAGTCATTATTCAAATGACAATGTGACCACAAATTGATATTTTTTAGTCAAAATGACTAAGACTAGACAAAAAAAAAAATTTTAAGTGCCGAAATGAACACTGCCATACGGAGCCATTCACACGCACTACCGAGGTCTGTGTCACAGCTGAGGCATGTTAGCTATTAGGGGTATGTCCTTAGCCTGTTTCTCAGAGTTCTTGACATTTCTTTTCAGCCAGATTTAAAAAATAGTCTGCTTTGTTGTCAGAGGGACCAGCTTCGGAGCAGACAGACGTGTACGTACGGGTCTTTCAGATTTAAATAAGCTTTATTAGCATGAATGACAAAGCCACTGCTGCTAAAGCGAAGTGAGATAACGATAACAGTAAACAATACAAAATAATAATAACATTGATAATAGTGAACTGGGGCCCATATCGCTCTGGTCAAAGTTGTGTACTACATAGGGAACAGGGTGCATTTGGAACACAGCCCAGGTGCTGCTAAGGAAGCTGGACAGGTGATGAATGAGGAGTTTCTCCAGAAGGCGAAGCCTTCATTTCAGGGTCAGCACTGTGTGTCTGCTGGACAGGGCCCCTCTATGTTAGGCCCCCGCCTGCCCCCCGGCCCCAGCCACGCCTGCTCTAGGGAGGGGGGTGGGGAGAGCCAGAGAGGAGAAGGGCGGCCCGCCCGAGGAAATTAATTGCCGCCACATACCAGACTCTACTGAGCCTGCAGTCTAAACACAAAGCTACGCTGCCAGCAGTACACACAGCTCTGACTGTCCACTCAGGGCCTGGCTATATGAACACTTGGTGTGCGTCCCAAATGGAAGCCTATTCCCTATATAGTGTACTACTTTTGACCAGAGACTACTTTTGTACTATATAGGGAATAGGGTGCCATTTGGCAGTGGTCCTGAAACCTCTCCTCGGGGACCCCCAGACATGTCACAATTTTGGTGTAACCCTGAACTAGCTAATATGATTCACCTCGTCAAAGGCTTGATTAGTTGAATCAGGTGTGCTAGCTCTGGAATAGTTCAAATGCATGGAACGGCTGGGGGTTCCCAAGGAGAGGTTTGAGAACCCCTGCCATATGGGATGCACATGTGCACGCTACAGACTGGTTCCATAACATTGTGGTCCACCTCTTTATGATCGTGGATCAGACTGGAGCTCCTACACATTGTATACATTTAGTGATGTGCTGTGTATAGGCTGGTCTGTGCCTTGTCTCACATAAGGCTATAAAGACTGGGGTTGCAATGCTACCGGTAATTTACACAAACAATGTATTTGACAAAGACATATTGACATACTAAAATAATTAAGTGTGTAAAAAAATATATATATTTTTTAAACAAACTTCATGCTGAAACCCTCATTAAATACCAAATTGTATTCAGTAAGTTGATGGTTTATATTTAGGATAATGTTTAACAGATTTGTCATTACATTTTTACTTTAAAATCTTATTGAATCATTTCATATATTTCACCTGTGTTAAGGCCACACAGAGGGCCAGAGATCATTACAGACACCTATGATAATCTGAAGTACCCAAAAGAGCCACTAGATGTTTTGTGATGATTACATAAAATCCTTGAAAGATAACAGAATGTTGGTAGTTTTCTGGTAAACTTGTAAAGTTTCCCTAATAATGAGATCACAGTACTTGAAGTGCTAATCCTTACACGACTGAAAAGTGGATGGATAGTCTAACCCTAAACTAGGGTTTCCCAAACTTGGTCCTCGGGACCCCAAGGGGTGCACATTTTGGTTTTTGCCCTAGCACTAAACAGCTTATTCAAATAATCATCAAGCGTAGTGTAGGACCGAGTTTGGGAAACACTGACCTAAACCCATAAAGCAGAGTCATGGGTCAGAGCACAAGGAGAGATTACCTTACTAAGCACTCCCAGTCCACAATCGGTGATGGTTAAATTGGAGTCATTATGTGACTTAATTGAGTTGTCTCCTGTTGTATAGTAGACATGCTAAGCACTGCTGACAGTATCTGGGCATCTGGGAGTTAGAGGACAGTTTGTTGTGTGATATAAGTAAGGGTCTGCAGGGAATTTAGCACAAACTGGAAGCATGAGCTGGCCACATGTTCTACGTTGAGAGGGAGAGAGCATGAAGGAAGGCCAGGCCGGGGCTTACCGTAGACCCGTTGTTTAGACAAATGGATCAACGGAACGAGCTCTAACGCAGAGAACATGTGGTAAAGTATTCTTTGAGCAGGCAGGAGGCAGCTGTCATTCTCTACAGACATGACTTTGTTACTTTTCTAATCTGATTTATTCCTCAACTCTCTGACAGCCAGGAAGGGGCTAAGAGACTGAAGTGAGTACAGATCTTTATTTTTTCTGAGTTCAAGGAGCATAGATTTCATCCCAAAATGCTGTCCTCACGTCGACCCTGCTACAAAAAACAAAAATAATACACCTCCAAAAGTATTCCTGTCTAGTCATAAGAATACATGTATATAAAAACATGACACTGCAATTACAAAGTAAAACGTTGGTCTGCACAGTGCACACAACGGTTAACAAGCAGCATGTTTCATTTCCTTCCTGTCAATTATGAAACCGTTGGACCCAAGTTTACATGATGCCAGTTCAGAAACGTAAATATAGGGAACCATGTGTATGGCATAATGTTTAAGTAAGTTTGCAAATATGGCAGAAAGTAAACAGCGTAGCAGGAGAACAGCTCACCAGGCCATTAAGAGTGGCAGGCAGGTACTCACTCTGAGACTGTTGGTCTCCCTGTCGCTATGGGGACCAGGTAAACATATTACATAATGTACAGTCTATTCCAGACTCCAAATCTGTCCAATACTAGCCTGGTCCCAGACCTGTTGGTGCCCTTGCCAACTCCATTGCTGTCATTGTCAAGCCAAACCGTGACAAGCAGTTGGTATGATAGCACAAACAGACTGGGACGCAGGCTATTCCAATGCAACATTCAGTTTGTCTGCTTGGACATTATAACTAATTGGATGTTACTACAGATGTCAATGCTCAAGGGCTGTGGCTGCTAATTATACTGTAGAGCAGAGGTGTCAAACTCATTCCACGGAGGGCCTCGTGTCTGCTGGTTTTTGGTTTTTCCTTTCAATGAAGGCCTAGACAACCAGGTGAGGGGGCTTCCTTACTAATCAGTGACCTTAATTCATCAATCAAGTACAAGGGAGGAGCAAAAAAAACCTGACACTCGGCCCTCAGTGGATTGAGTTTGACACATGCTGTAGAGGAAATGATGCCCCAAATGAAGTCATGCCAAAACCATAGAACTATGTATAAACTATGTAGCTATGTGTCAGTCTCTGCCAGCATAGTCGCTGTGCGGCTCTTCAGAGCCAACGTGGGTGGCCTAATTCAAAACACTATCAATAAGTCCCTAGGAGGATAGTTAAAAGTCATTTCCCTATTGGATCATAATGTACTGGACTGTAAACATACTAGGCTCTTTAATTTGACAGACAGGTCTGGGGACAGTTCTATCTCTGTTGTTCCATCTATTTCTGCAGATAGGATGTTGCATGAGAAACATGATAGGACCCATCAAGAGAGTGAGGCTGGTGGGAGGATAACACAGCCTGGGTTTGGATAGGAGGTGGTCAGCTGGAAGCCATAATGCCTGGGTTCAGACGTAATCACTTCACCAGCAGTCAGTTCAGTGTACACTTCACTGCTACACTCCACTCCCCTGCTCAAATCGCTCTCCCTGTTTGAGTTATATCTATTCTGGTATTAGTGAGCAGACCTGGGTTCAAATGCTATTTGAAATCGCTCAAATACTTTGAGCCAGTGTTTCACCTATATTCATTAAGCAGTGGTGGCCCACCGCTGCTAAATTGTTTCCACCACTGCAAAAATAGGTATTTTTTACAAATGTATATTTCTGCCGAGACACACTTTTAAATGATTAGTCGCTGTCTCAATCACTGGATGTCTATTGGAACAGCTAGCACATCATTATGCTACCGCTAGTAGCAATGCACTACTGTGAATGGGGCTCTGAATCAACAACTTTCCTATACATAACAAAACTCTGAGGTCATGGATTCTAGTGTGCTCTTACCTTCATGTATTACTCAATAACTCCCTCACAATAACACCTCAGAACCAAGGCTGGGAACCAAAGAATGTCCACACTTCTGTCACTCACTGTGTTTCAACACTGCAATTAAGATCTGTGGAACCTTCAAGTGTTCTGTGGAACCGTCAAAATGGACACTTGTGTTTCAATATGGGCACAACCACTTAATGAAATAGACCATCGAATGAATGATAGGATCTCTACGGGTACTACAGTGTGTCTGGGCTTGAATGTTTGTGTTGGTTTGATAGGAATACGCACCATCATTGGCATGTCTTACACAGTCCTGAAAGACTGCATGCCACTTCTGCTGTTCTTTCTCCGTCACCACACAGAAATAGTAGTGGCGGGCGTACGGGTGCCACAGGATCAGAGGGAACTGGGTGGCACACTTCAGGAAGGGAGAGTTACCCACTTTAGCATTTACACCTGAAACACAAATCACAATAACCTTTATGCACCAAGTACATTCACATGTAACAGGAATTTTGACCCGGGTAAAATGGTGTTGACAACGCTTTAAAATAAACCGAATAAACAGACAGAATATAGACAAAATAATTTATACAAATCTAAATACAGTCTATACAACACTGCATCAATCAAACACTGTCCTGCACCAGTAGGGAAGTAGCCCTTTCTGCACATTTTCTGAACCATGCCGTAGCACAAAAACAGACCTTAAGAAACAGGAACATGTCCACATTTCATGAAATAACACTGAGCTTTTCATAATGAGACCAATAAGAGGTCTCCGTTCCTCTTTAAAATGATTACATATGACATTTTAGGTGAAGAGTCTTAACATATGCAGGTTGGTCACTAGCTGGCACAACCACTAAGTCTTATATTTATTTTTTTACCCCCTTTTTCTCCCCAATGTCTCATCGCTGCAACTCTCCAACGGGGTCGGGAGGCGAAGGTCGAGTCATGAGTCCTCCGAAACATGACCCGCCTAACCGTGCTTCTTAACACCCGCCCGCTTAACCTGGAAGCCAGCCGCAGAAATGAGTCGGAGGAAACACTGTTCAACTGACCCACTTAGTCTGAATTTAAACCTAACCACACTTCTAACCCTAAATTAACACCAAAAAGCAACAACAAAAAATTCATGATATAGGCAATTTTTGACTTTTCAGCTAGCCCATCTAGCAGAAATCGCTCAGTTTTGCCTCCAGGACAAGATTCATGACAGTAAACGTCAACCTGCGTAACATGTGCCTCACCCCCACCCCTTCCCTGGTTCTCAGTTGTAACATGTTCTCACCAGGCAGGCTGTTGTTGAGCAGCTCCAGGTACTGATCCATTGAGGTCAGCACTTTATACCCAGCACAGTTGATGTTTCCCTTGGGGTGAAGCCCTCTCTCATGAGACTGACAGGGAACACAAGGACAAGGCAGATTTAACGCTCTATTGCATTACTTGTTATCTTCCTCCCCCCAAAAAGTGACAATTATGAGAATGACACTTGCAGATATAGAACACCATGTACACTACAGGGATTGATGCATTTTATTAGCTAATTCATTAATACTGACAAAATAAACCATCATAATGTTAAACAGAGCTCTTCCCTTACCGCTTTGTTGTCATAGTAGTTGATGGTGTAGCAGTCAGGAACGAAGAGGAAGTGGTTTCTCCATTTATTGTTCTCCTCCAGAAACTGGAACAGAGCTCCAGAGAAGATGGATCTATTCTCCAGAGGAACCTGAGTGGGACAGACAGGGGAACCTTTTGATGACTGGCATCTAGGGACATCACCTCTATGGTGGATGGATCCATCTTTATGGACCAAGGAGTGGCCTACAATTTAAAGCCTTTGAGTTCCTCTTGAAACATCAGGCATACTTACTACATTGCCATGTGGAACTACTGTCTATAAGTGATTTCTCAACCGTAGCCCAGACTCTGGAGTAGTGTTCATTCGTTTATCCAATCATTTGCCCATCCAGACAGTATCGTTGTTCTCAGGAAAACAGCCATCATTCCTCAAAAACCTCTCCCCAATAAAACAAAAAACGGCAGTCTCTTACACAGCCTCATGTAGTTAGCAGTGTGAGTGCAGCTGTAGTGCCAGAAAGAATGTAGCCGTTTCTCTTTACAAGGGAGTGTTACAGGCCTTTAAAACTGGACCCCCCAGGAGAATCCTAATAAAAGAGTTACACTAGGGGCTCGATTCAAACCGTAGCGCTAATGTTAAGCGTTAAGGCGTTTACAGACGGGCTGCGGTAAGCGGCGAAGGTCTCAGACTGGGAGTAGGGCTCCAAAATATGAAATAAGCTGAAGTCGTGAGCACCCGCTGCACAGGGTTGACACACTGTTTTATGACAACATTCGAGCTAACAACCGGGACCGTTGGTCTCTACACACGGTAGGCTAATTTTCTCGCAGTTCAGTTGCCGTTTACCGCGGCCCCGTGTGCAATCGCCTTTATAGAGCGATTGAAATGTAAAAAGGTAATTTCCGATTGAGCCAACATATGACAGCGTTTAACATGAATACAGTCTCCTCTAAAGCAGGAACATTGCCTTTAAAATGTCAATCGTGCTACAACACAGATCTTCAGCGCTACGGACTGAAATCGAGCCCTAGGGTCTTCTGCAGTGACGTCACTCGCCCTAAAGTCAAGCTAGATTCTTGCTCCCTCTGTTTGTAGCACGGTTGACTTGAGATCTCAGGTCGAGTGACATCATCACACAATGGCAACTTGTGCTTCACTAGCTCCCATCTGTTACACAGAGATAGAATCATACAAGGTACATTGAGATGTTTCCCTCTGTAGCCTAACATGGCAGTCTAAACTACTGTGGAACTCTAAACTACTGTTTACTCCTCTGGCTTAAGTGGGAGTGGCCTACATACCAGGACTCCTCATGCTGTATTTATAAGAAACTACTATTAGATCTAAACACACTTCAATCTTCAGAACAAACTGAGCTCATGAGTGTAAATCTGTTTTATATTGGTTCTGTACCACTCAGATCAATTTGATATAGTGATAGGAGTTTCTTCAGGTTCAACATAATGTGGGAAAAGTGTTCCAAATGTCAGCACTTCATGAGAAACTGCAGGTATTATTCCATTACCTTATCAGGACAGAAACAGAGTAGAGGAGGACAAGAGAGGAATACAGAAGAGGAGAGGACAGGAGCAGAGGAGGACAAGAGAGGAGGATGTGTTAGTTACCTTGCGGTGCAGTAGCTGTGGCTGGGGCCCCCCTCCTCCCTCGATGTCAAAGCGGACCTTGTTGAAGAGGGCCACTGCATACTGCTGCTCATACAGACGGCTAAACGCTCCAATCACCTCGCCTGTCCTGGCTGCAAGGAGAAGGAAGGAAAGGACAGGGGTGTATTAAGGGACATGAAACACCCAATGTTGAAGATAGAAATATTATTAATAGAGCTGACATGATTCCCTATTCTAACAGACAATCATTTATTTTCTACACTATACATTCCTATCTGAATGTTCCGTAATGCTACGTCCCTGAACAGACCCCAGTTGTTGCAAATCAAAACGGTGTATGATGGGTTGCCTCTGTAGCTCAGCTGGTAGAGCACGGCGCTTGTAACGCCAAGGTAGTGGGTTCGATCCCCGGGACCACCCATACACAAAAATGTATGCACGCATGACTGTAAGTCGCTTTGGATAAAAGCGTCTGCTAAATGACATATTATTATGACATTCCCTGTCAATAGTGATGTATTATTTAGTGTATTCTGATTTAATGTTTTGTGTAATAGTCTGAAAGCAAAGAGTAGCCTTTCGCTGGTTACCTCAATCACTATTTACTTTGCTTAGCACGGTGTAAAAATAAAAATAAATTAAAAAAACGTGTTGCCAAGTTGGAAGTCAAACACATTTCCCATGGTCCTTTGGGTCCTTTATCAGAACGTCCACACGGCAGTGTTTGCATTACAAAGTTAGCCTTCAGTTCAGGTCTTTCAATATTTTACCAAAATGGAGTTGGCACACTATCAACCCGTTTGTCAATGTTTGACAGAAACTGAGAAGACCTGACTTCAAAGTTACACCCCTGGACCTTCAACAAACTAGTTCAGCCATTCTGGCTTGGACAAGGCTTACTTTGATTAACACCAGAAACCTGTTTCTTTATGGCTGTCTACCTCGGAGAGAAAGGAAAGAGAGAGAAACCTCTGCTTTGTTTGTTTACCATCCCCTGCCTCCATTTAGCAGGAGGCCTTTTGGTAGGCCTTCATTGTAAATAAGAATTCCCTAGTTAAATAAAGGTGAAATAAATAAAATAAAATTAGAGAGAGTGGTGCTGTAAATGTAGCATATGGAGGAACGGTCTGCTGGCAGGGCAGAGGGAGACTGTAAATGTAGGGAGGAATGGTCTGCTGGCAGGGCAGAGGGAGACTGTAAATGTAGGGAGGAACGGTCTGCTGGCAGGGCAGAGGGAGACTGTAAATGTAGGGAGGAATGGTCTGCTGGCAGGGCAGAGGGAGACTGTAAATGTAGCATATGGAGGAATGGTCTGCTGGCAGGGCAGAGGGAGACTGTAAATGTAGCATATGGAGGAATGGTCTGCTGGCAGGGCAGAGGGAGACTGTAAATGTAGGGAGGAACGGTCTGCTGGCAGGGCAGAGGGAGACTGTAAATGTAGGGAGGAATGGTCTGCTGGCAGGGCAGAGGGAGACTGTAAATGTAGCATATGGAGGAATGGTCTGCTGGCAGGGCAGAGGGAGACTGTAAATGTAGGGAGGAACGGTCTGCTGGCAGGGCAGAGGGAGACTGTAAATGTAGGGAGGAATGGTCTGCTGGCAGGGCAGAGGGAGACTGTAAATGTAGCATATGGAGGAATGGTCTGCTGGCAGGGCAGAGGGAGACTGTAAATGTAGCATATGGAGGAATGGTCTGCTGGCAGGGCAGAGGGAGACTGTAAATGTAGGGAGGAACGGTCTGCTGGCAGGGCAGAGGGAGACTGTAAATGTAGGGAGGAATGGTCTGCTGGCAGGGCAGAGGGAGACTGTAAATGTAGGGAGGAACGGTCTGCTGGCAGGGCAGAGGGAGACTGTAAATGTAGGGAGGAATGGTCTGCTGGCAGGGCAGAGGGAGACTGTAAATGTAGGGAGGAATGGTCTGCTGGCAGGGCAGAGGGAGACTGTAAATGTAGGGAGGAACGGTCTGCTGGCAGGGCAGAGGGAGACTGTAAATGTAGGGAGGAACGGTCTGCTGGCAGGGCAGAGGGAGACTGTAAATGTAGGGAGGAACGGTCTGCTGGCAGGGCAGAGGGAGACTGTAAATGTAGGGAGGAACGGTCTGCTGGCAGGGCAGAGGGAGACTGTAAATGTAGGGAGGAACGGTCTGCTGGCAGGGCAGAGGGAGACTGTAAATGTAGGGAGGAATGGTCTGCTGGCAGGGCAGAGGGAGACTGTAAATGTAGGGAGGAACGGTCTGCTGGCAGGGCAGAGGGAGACTGTAAATGTAGGGAGGAACGGTCTGCTGGCAGGGCAGAGGGAGACTGTAAATGTAGGGAGGAACGGTCTGCTGGCAGGGCAGAGGGAGACTGTAAATGTAGGGAGGAATGGTCTGCTGGCAGGGCAGAGGGAGACTGTAAATGTAGGGAGGAATGGTCTGCTGGCAGGGCAGAGGGAGACTGTAAATGTAGGGAGGAACGGTCTGCTGGCAGGGCAGAGGGAGACTGTAAATGTAGGGAGGAATGGTCTGCTGGCAGGGCAGAGGGAGACTGTAAATGTAGGGAGGAACGGTCTGCTGGCAGGGCAGAGGGAGACTGTAAATGTAGGGAGGAATGGTCTGCTGGCAGGGCAGAGGGAGACTGTAAATGTAGGAAGGAACGGTCTGCTGGCAGGGCAGAGGGAGACAATGTACACTAACGGTCAAAAGTTTTAGAACACCAACTCATTCAAGGGTTTTTCTTTATTTTTACTATTTTCTACATTGTAGAATAATAGTGAAGACATCAAAACTCTGAAATAATACATATGGAATCACGTAGTGTTAAACAAATCAAAATATGTGTTATATTTGAGATTCTTCAAATAGCCACCCTTTGCCTTGATGACAGCTTTGCACACTCTTGGCATTCTCTCAACCAGCTTCACCTGGAATGCTTTGCCAACAGTCTTGAAGGAGTTCCCACATATGCTGAGCACTTGTTGGATGCTTTTCCTTCACGCTGCGGTCCGAACCATCTCAATTTGGTTGAGGTCGGGGGATTGTGGAGGCTAGGTCATCAGATGCAGCACTACCCTTCTTGGTAAAATAGCCCTTACACAACCTGGGAGGTGTGTTGTGTCATTGTCCTGTTGAAAAACAAAATTATAGTCCCACTAAGTCCAAACCAGATGGGATGGTGTATCACTGCAGAATTATGTGGTAGCCATGCTGGTTAAGTGTGCCTTGAATTCTAAACAAATCACAGACAGTGTCAACAGCAAAGCACCCCCACACCATCCCACCGTAAAGCATGGAGGAGGAGGTGTGAACTACACATGCGGACATCA